TTTTTTTTTTTGCTCTTTTGATTGACAGGGAAAGTTATGTTGATTTTTGTTGTTGAAAATTGCTTTTAAATTAAGTTAATTTTTGCTAGAAGTATTTTGATTTGATGTATAATAAATATAAATAGAGAGTTTTTTTTTACAATTTATCTAAGCGACTTTTTATAAATATTTATTGGGATGTATACTATATGTAAATAGATATTTAATTTCATATTTTTTCCAAAATTTATTTCGAATTGATGTTAATGATGCATATATTGTCGATCTTGCATAGATATGCATCGAAATTTGTGCATATACTTTTTATAAAATATTTCTGAAAAGGGTTTCGAGTTCATCTTCAGATAACTGCTACTTCCGTATTTAATTTTATTTTCTTCAAAATAAATCAAACAAATGTATTTTTAAATATATTTGTGTTCACATAAAAAAAATGAAAGCTTTTTTTATGGGGCTGCGGATTAATAATTACCGTTGCAGACCTAGTACATTCCCCAGGAGCTAATAACTTTTTTTTAATGCGACACCATATCAGTGGAATACTAATCACCGCGAAAAATTTTGAAACCCAGTTTTCGCCCAAGGGGGAGGTACTTGATCTCTGGCAATGTGAAGCTGAACAACGAATTTTATTTTGCCGAGAGCAAACAAGCAAAACAGGCACTCTAGGGATCTTTAACATGCCGTTTAATGATACGACATGGAGGCTGTCGATTTTCTGCATCATGAAAATCCACCGATTTGGGCCGGTTTGAACCTGCAACCTTAGGCGTACAAGGACAGAGCTTCAAACCAACTGGACTACCCAATTAAAATAAAAATAAAATCAACAATTTCAACATCGCACAGCGAGTCTTCTGTGACTTTGGGTTCTGAACCCGCGCCAGCAGCATTGACCAAGAGTTTTGCGGCTATAACCTCCGGCTACGATAGCTTCTACATTATCAAGGCATAAAATTATTACAACTCGAATTACGCATTGTTTCATGCATGTTAACCTCTAGATTTTATATATAAAAATATCCATGGAATCTTTTGTTTTGTGTGTTGTGTTTTCTTTTTCTGGTATTCTTCACATCTTATTCCTACGTGCAGTTGATTCAGTCTTGGGCCTCTTATACCTTTGAGTTATTTAACACGATTTATGTATTTTTTTTTCTGATACAGGGGTCGGCAACTAGCAGCCCGCGGATCACATGCGGTCCGCAAAGAGTTTTAATGCATCCCGCCAAGTTAGTAAGAAAATTCGCTTTGAACTGTTATTCCTTTCCCGTGCGCGATCAAAGATTCCTTTTTTATTTTATCCATTAGGAAAACGAAGTACCCTGAAGTGTTTTCATTAACATATCCTCTATAGAGTTTGGAGGACGAGGAGACAAGATTTCAGAATTTTAAGAGAATTGAGCTTAAATTCAATTTGTTCTATTATTCCATGACTGCTGATATTGATATAACACGTGTGGAAGTACAGCTTGAACTTATTGGCTTGAAGTCATATCACAAGGTGAAGAAAATGTTTAATGTCATCACATGAATTGACTTTTACAAATTTTTGTCAGCTGAAACATTTCCATGTATGAAGAGATGTTGTTCTTTATATTTTAGTCGACATATATTTCTGAGTATTAAGTTTCTCTTGCATGAAGATCAACAAGAATAAATACAGAGGCAAGTTGGCAATCTCTCGCAAACTCTTTCAAGTTGTCCGCGCAAGCCCAAATTAATTTTAATTTGTCACGAACCCCTTCAGAAGTCACAAAGGCGAGCTTCTGGTTTAAAACAACACGTCAAGATGAAAATGATTGTTATATAAACTAACTAACAAATTATTTAATAACTATATAATCTGCTATTTCAAAAAAATGAGCTCTAAAAATATTTATTTTTGCCTTTGACATCAGGGCAATATGCTCTCGGTCAAATAAGAAATGCATGAAATATATTTTTGTACATTGTGACGTTTGAGATAAATGAAGGTCACGTGATATTGATTAATTTAAATATCTAGTTTAATTACGCCTCACCTATTCTGTACAGAATATGCATTGAAGTTATTAAACTTATTGTGGAGATTATTAGAGCTAAAATGATGTTGTTTGTGAGGGAGGAATTTTCTTCCGTTCTCAGCAAAGTTTCCAGACCATCTCCCATTCTCTCTCTGCCCTCTCTAGGCCTTCGGGATAATAGGATCGGCGTCTTTATCCTCAAGTTGCATCCGGGCAGTGGGCGGATTAAGGGGTTCTGTGTGGTGCCAATGGTTGCCGGGGCGATATCCAAAACAAGACCGTGCAACATTTTTAGAGTGCAGATGTCATTGCCCGTGTGGTGATTATATCCACAAAAGAAGCCGATTCACAGCTGTGTGGTGGGAAACGTTACAACATTTATAGTCGGAAAAACCGTAATTCCTTAGATCAGGGATGGGCAACTAGCAGCGCGAGGTTTTTTCCCCTTGCACTGTCAAAGGTTCGTGTTTTATTTTTCACTATTAAGAAAACAAAGTACTTGTAAGTGTTTTTACTAAGAGATCATCTACAATGTTTGGACAAGGTCACAAGAACGCTTCAGGATTTTAAGAAAATTGAGCTTAAATTCTTACTCTGTTATCCCATTATTACCGATATTGATACAGCACGTGTGGAGATACAACTTGAACGTGACTTGATGTCAGATCACAGTGCGAAGAAAACTTTTAATGATATATGACATTGACTTATACAAATACTTGTCAGCTGAAAAACTTCCATGTACGAAGAAATTTGCTGGGACTCTTTATGTTTTAGTCTACATATATTTCTGAGCAACGCTTTTCTTGCATGAAGATCAACAATCAATATAAATGCAAGTTGATCGACATAAAATTGCGAGCTGTGATGAGAATTTCAACAAGCAACCTGCTCCTGATTTTAAAAAAAATGTAAAAAAGTATGGTTGGGTACAATTAACTCATTAAACTGATTCTAAAACTAAATGTGCTTGTGTGCAGCTATAGACAGCAAGAAATTAGCACAATAAATTAATAGAATAAATTGCCACTATTTTATTTATTTTATATTTATTATTTTTAACACCCTTTTATAAGCTTCTCTTGTATGTAACGAAATATTTGAATTCAATTTTTACCCACTTTAAAAGGTCAGATGAATTCGAAATTTTGCTCATTTGTCATGGATCGATGACAATACAGTAATTTAATAATTTTGTTCCATTGTCCTGATCAGGATCATCAAGATTAACGATTTCCCGTTTTCAGATCCCAATTCCAGATTTGGCGACTAATTCCAGATTTGGCGACCAATTCCAGATTTGGCGACTAAAAGATTAAGTTACAACTTAGTTCGATTAACTATAAAAGGGTGTTCTTTTTAGTTTTTGATGTGTAACATCTTTCCTCTCGATTGCTGGAGATTTGTGGGAGTGATTTCGTGAAAAGGGACGGAAATGCGCAACAGGAAGTTGGGGAAGCGCGCGCTATTCAGTGAAGTTTTGTTTTTTCTCCTTCATTCGGGAGGGGCTCCACCCCCTGCGGTCTAGGCCGTGGGATCTTTGTTTTTGTTTTCTCACTTTAGGATCAGAGAAGAAGCTAAGTCCTTTAGGCAGAGACGTGGTTAGACAATGACGAACGTGTTTCGATACCTGACCGATTGCTGCGTACAATTTAAACGACCGGGCCACAGGGCAGCTGGTGTTGCGATCTATCACAAACAGAACACCTCACATGTTGTGGCTCCCATATGGATATTACTTATCGTCAAACAAGGGGACTGGGTATTGTTAGTCAAGATATTGGGGACATATGTGCGGCAAAATGCTTATTAGAAAATGGACAAACAGTGATTTCGGTGGTCGTATACATTTCTCCGAATCAAACGGTTCAAAAAATTAAAGATTTCCTGCATTTTTTACTTTTACCATATATCGAAGGTGGTTCTGCTCTTTTTTTAAAAAAAACTATCACTCGCTTCCCATGATTTTGAGTGGTGATTTTAAAGTTAACTTCAGTTTGCTAGAAGCCGAGCCACTCATAGCTTTTTTGAATGATGAACTCAAGCTCGAAATGAACACAAATCGAAATGTTTCGACAACTAACAATGGTACTGTTATTGACGCTATTTTTCAACGGTTTTTAAATACTTTGAAAACACAAGTATATGTGTCATATTTTAGTTATCATAAATTATCATTACCGCTCTTCCCCAAATTGAACAAGAATAATTATTTTCGATAAAAAATTGTATTACTCCTTGTGTTAATTAAATAAAATTTTCATTAAAGATATAATTATTCCATAGAAAATTAATTCCAATCCTACTCGATTCATTTTTTTTCAGGATTTAAGTTGCTATTGTCGAATTTACCACGGTAACATGTCAGATGTTACACATCGTATGCGACTACTGTAAGGCTCGTTTCTTTTTTTTTAAAACAGTAATTTATCATTACAATGAATGTAATCATTTAAAAAAGGTGTGGACCTCCGGTATCCTCTGCTCCCATAATTTGGCCCGCGGGCTAAGCAAGTTGCCCACCCCTGTTCTAATATAATATGCAGTAACTTAAGTGTGTTTTCATTTACATCACTGTAAAATAATTAATTATTAAATTTCTGTTTTTGGTCGTTAGCATTTTTAAAAAAGAATATTCTTTTTTATCCTTAATGAATTCGATTTTTAAAAACAAAGGGTTTTTTAAAAAAAATCATTAGACCTTCTAGTGCGATTTTATTAAGTTTTCTTTCTTTTTTTCAATTCCTACTATTAGTTCACTCTCTCCTTATATATTTATTTAGTTACATATCTTGTTCAAATTTTCAATCGTTAATAAAATACTTTCTATTGATCCATTCAAGTTCTAATACATTTTTTTAAAACTTGCAGTGGATGACACTTGGTGTTAATACAGTTTTTTCAAATAATAATTCATTAATTAAATTAAAAAATGAAAAAAGTAACAAACATAACAGTCCAACAGCATATATAGAAGGGAAATTCGTTCGTTGTCTTCCTGTGGCGCAGAGGTTAGCGCGTTGGACTTCTAATTCGAAGGTCGTGGGTTCGAATCCCACCTGGTATTACCTTAATTCTGAGAATGTGCTTTCTTTTTTACCGTACTATTTTATAAGAATAATTAAATTTAATTAATGAATAATTTGTAACAAAAAAAAAATATTCCAACACCATATATAGACAGGAAAATGGAACATTGCAAGGAAAATCGCTTTCTATTTTGTCACTAAATATTGTGATTCTGTCATATGTTTATACATATTTATTTAATTCTAACTATTTAATAAAAAGTAACAAAATAAAACGTTTCTTTGTTGATCTAAGTAGGAATTGACTTAAAAAATGTGTTTTAAATACTTGTTAAAACATTTCTTCACCTTAGAAAAAGACCATTACATATTGAACTCCGTATTTCAAATACATTTACTTTCATTTTCATTCATAACGACAAATAATTAAATAAATACGATAAAACCAACAAAACGTAACAATGTATCTATTTTTGTTATGAAACAAAAATGTGACGCAGTCCCAGGAAAAGATAAAGCACCAAACGATAAAAAAAAAGTACCAAACGATATTTCCAATCAGGCTTCCTTTCGTGAGAGCCTATCATTCCTCGAACCCTTCGTGTTCTTTTTGATTGTCATTGGCTGGGAGCATACCTCCATTGTGCAGGGTGTGGGCGGTGAAGTGAGGTGAAGTGAAGAAATCAGTGAACCTCAGGAGAAGAAAAATATTGACTGGCACAATGCCAGAATTAAAGGGAGCCTTGCTTTTGGATTTAAGTGGAAAAGTATGGTATAGGGTTATCGAATATTTCTGGACAAAAATGCCTACGGAATTGGAAAAAGTCCAAAATAGTTTAGGTACAGAAAAAGTGTGTTGAATTTTCTTTTCTCCTTTAAGTACACGTGTAGCTATAAAATATCGTCACAGTTTTTTTTTCTTTTAAAGTTAGTAGGTGTAAAGCCAAATAGTTATGTTTTTATATTTTGTTGCTCTCTCTGTAAAATCCTCCCCCATTTTTCTCTTCTATGATTGAAGAATCTTTTAAATAGAAGAATTCACTCATATGTATTTATTTTATATTACTTGTATTTGTGATGAAAAAAACGAATTTTTTTTATGTTTTGAAACGGTCTCTAAAATCAGAGTTGTATATGCTTTTTACGAAAGTGTTAAAATTGACTGAAATATAGTAGAAATCTTCAAACTTTTTCGACTTACGGAACATTTTGAACTATAAGATGTTTTCGGAGAACCCCATCACACACACACACAAATGTTATTTTTTGTTAAAATTATGTTTTCTTTTTTTTCATTTTTTTTTTAATTCAAAAATAAATACCTAATATTTTCTATTTCCGTGTCTAAAATTAGTAGAACACTTAAGGGAATAATTCCTTGAATAATTGACAAATATAAATTTAAATAAACGTGAAAGAACCTATGAAAACTACCCACAATTTTTTTTTCAACAATTTATCAATATAATTTTCTTCAAGTTTTTTTTTTTTTTTTTTTTTTTTTGAAGCAATAATTTTTACGAATCTTGTTTTTAATCTTAAATATTTTATTCGCACTTTTTTGGTAATTTCTTTTTCTTCAATTTATAATGTATTAGTGTATTTTTTATTCCTTGATGGTACTTGAACATTGTAAATGCCGTGTTTTTTGTGTGTAATTATTTTAGATTTCTTTTTAACCAAATGAGTCTTTAACGGACGGAATAAAAAACAATCTAGTACATTTCATTTTTATCGTTTTCTGGTTAGAATCTATCACATAATAAAATAATCGAGAATTAACCTCTTAAGGGGACACAGTACATTCCAAATGACAAAAATCGGTCAAAAAATCAAATTTAATTTTTTTTAGCCTAAATTATTCTTTATATACTTTTCTATAGCCTCACAAAATTTTAAAGCTCTAAACTTAAAAAACGCAGAATTATGATAGCTCTCACGTTCGTTTTTTTTCACAACCCAATAACAAATTAAAACTTTATAAACTGACTTATCTCAGAAAGATAAAATAACTAGTTTGTCTTCATTTAAAATGCTAAGGCTTTTTTTCTATTGCGCCTAATGTTTTGAATTTTTTTTAACCTATTCCTAAGAGTGCATGGAACAAAAATTGGTATGCATTTTTGAATCAAAGCAATACTTATTTTTTAAAAAATAATTGATCTCAGAATTTGTACATTTTTTAAGAAATTTTCAATAAGCATTCCTAAAAAGAAGTGATGTACGAATTCCAATCATGTTATCGCAAAACCCATCCCAACTTTTGTTATACATAGTTTGACGTACTTGTAAATCAAATTTCATGCGTGTAAGTAAATTTTTGTAGGAGTAGCATTTAAAATAATTTAAGTTTTTTTCCTTAAAAAATTAAATGGCTAGCTTTTTATGAAATTTTGAGCTCAAAATCTATTTTACATAGTATACACACATAGGACGCAACCAAAAAAAAAATTTGAAAATCCCTAAATTAAAATTTTTGCGTAAATCGTATCATGTCCCCTTAAATGTGTGGTTTGCCCGCTTACCGGTAACACTTAAGTGGTTAAAATCGTATTGTAGCTTTAGCGTCTAATGTTATTGAATTCAATATATTGTTGTTATTTTATGAACGAAGGGGGCGCGATGAAAATTGTGATTGAGTATTGGGTTGCAAATATTGAAACTTTGAGTAGCACTGGTATTATAATTCGTTTAAAAGATGCATTTAATATAATAAAGGCAATATTCCTTTCATAGGTTAATGAGAAAAGATAATCGTCTGATTTATAGATAGCGAGGATATTCACTATTATAAAGCAAAAATGACAGGAATGAGTTTTTCTTGACCTAATTTTTGCTAATGACTGCCTTCTTTCTACTGGTGCATTTTATTTTCTTGGCAGCGGGCCAATGAGTATATGGTCCATTGTAGAGGTAAAATAAAAATATACAAATTATTTCTGGAAAAATACTTTTGTGCCCCAAAAAAGTATTTATCTAACGAAGATACTAAATTATTTAGTACACATTCTATAAATATATTCGTCTCACAAATATTCCATGAGCTTTAAGAGATATTTTAATACCTAACAGTTAATAATTGATATAATTTTCGAATATATTATATATAATGACTGATTTAACAATGACGTGAACATTCAACAATGAATGTGAGAAATTCGTTGCCCCACACGCATTATCACATACTAGCCATTGCCTTCCGGCTTTTCTGTGTAATTCATGATGTGGTTTGAATATACACTGTTTATATAAATTATTGTTATTTAAGTTCTAGCACTAAGCGTTCGATTGTATTAAAAACATTGTTAAGGGGTATCCGACTACTTGCGACAACTTAAAAAAAAAAATGGAGGTATGGGGATTTTTTGGGGGCTTTTAGATTTGCTTATTAGACTTTAAGAAAAATATGCCAAAATTAAGAAGAAAAAAGAAATTATTATTACTAAAACGTGTGTGTGTGGGAAAAAATTCGTAAAAATTTACAAAAAATAACATAAACGGGGCCCATTCTGTACCAAAAGTTTATGAAGAAATTTTCAATTTTTCAATTCTGATGTGTTCATTTTTAAAATGACCTTCAGGATAAGAGATATTTTAATTTTTACAAATTTAGAGCACTTTATCTTAGTTATTGTATGAAATTGCTTAAAAAACATTGATTATATTAACATAAGGGACTGTAAATTTTGTAATAAAACAGTGATTGATACATCTGAAGGTTAAAATTCTTCTATTAAACAGAACATACGCAAAAAATTTCAGCTAATTATTTTCAAAACTTTTTGAGCAATCGCTGTCCTTTTCGAGCTTTTAAAAAAAACACATTTCGAGTAAAACGCGTTTTAAAGAATGACATCTTGCTTGAAGTAATGGCATCTGCTTTTACTAAAACACTTGTAGTTTTTGTTCTAGTAAACGGAAAACAATAAACTTGGTACTTTTATAAAGCTAATAAAGATGGTCTATAAAATAAAATCATAAAAAAATTTGTCAATGTTTGGCAGGATTCACAATTTTAGGGTAGTCGGATACCTTAAAACCCTCATTTTTTATTTGAAAGGATAGTACTTAGATTTCTGAAATTATAGTAGAATTATCTCTTACGTTTCCACAACCTCTCCCAGAAGAGAATTTCAACAAACCCATTTCTCTATTCAACAAAATAGGTATGCTTGCCAAATTTCAAGTCTAAGAGAAAAAACGGAATTTTTTTTTATCAATATGCCCTGTAACTACCCTTAAAAGTCGATTTCCGTTGATCCGTTCTTGGCGGCTTTCAAACCAACAAAAGAAACATGCATACGAAATTTCATTACTGTAGGTCTAGTAACTTGAAAACGAGAATGAATTTTTTTTTATTTATACGCCCCAATAAATCCCCGCAACCCCCATAGGAGTCGATTTACGCAAAACTCATTCTTAACGGATTTCTGTTCAACAAAGGAAACACGCTTATCAATTTTCAAGTCTGTAGATTTAATAGTTCAAAAACGGGAGTATATTTATCTACAACGCCCTTTAACCTCTCGCAATTCCCCTTAGGGAGGGGTCTATTTTTATAAACTCCTTCTTAGGGGGTCTCAACCACAAAAGGAATTTGCCTGTCTAATTTCAAGTTTGTTGGTCTAATAGTTCCAAAACGGGTATATTTATATATAACGCCTTTTTACCCTTCGCAATGCCCTTTGGGGATTAATTTTCGGCAAACTTAGGAATAATTTTGCCGGAAATTGATTCCTGGATCAATTTTCGGTAAAATTGGGGTGAATTTAGCATCGGCAAAGCTCAGGTGCCTCTCTCTGGAGAGGAAACTGGTCGTCAAAATTACTTTCGGCAATTGGTATCGCCTATATGTTGCCTCTCTAAAAAGTGATTCAAGCTAATGGGGAATATATTGGGTCTGCAAAGGTAGAAATATCTATCCGCAGCCCAATTAGAGAAAAAAAAGCTTTGTAATTTGTCCTTTCTTTCTTTCTTTTTTTATCTTACATCTGTCAACTTCGTGTGATGTTTGTGAATTATTTTATTGATTTTCAGT